TGCCCAAAGTGCTATTGCCTTTTCATCTCCATCGCTAGACTGTTTGATTAGATGATCTTGAACACCTTGACCTCTACACCATAACTCGACAGATGAAGCCCAAGCTAAGTAGTTTGAACCTCCTATTAAAGGTTTCGCGGTAATAATAGCACTAGAGCTTCTAGAACTCATGTTTCTAGACCCAAAAGCATCAAATCCCAAAGACATTGTTGCAAATTATTACCAAATAAGAGAAAGAATCAACTGTAATCCACTGAAACAGTGTACGGAAACACAGAAGCAAAATACTGAAATACTGTAGCTGCCGGAATCTACTGTAGCTGTCGGAATAGTACTGTAGTTGCCGGAAAAAAAACTCAAAGTTGTCGGAATGAAATAAAAACAATACGGGTAGGATCGGAATTACCAGACGACCTAACTGTTCTGAAGGAAGATTTTCAAAAAATGGCCGGAAGTGGTCGTACACGCCGGCGCGTGAGCTCACGCGCGTGAGCTTCTGGTGGCGCGTGGAGGCGTGTGAGGAGGCTGCTGCCGGAGCTTTTCACTGGGGTTTGGTCGCCGGACAGTGACGACTCTTGTGGTAGTGTTGGATTTTGCACAACACTGACAGAAATGAAGCAGATAGAAAACAGCCTTAAAAAAGTACTGATTTCTCTTTCCCGGAATCGCTGGAATTTATGTACAGCAATAAGTCTCTCACAATTGCTCTGATACCATGTGAGAAGGTACGGGAGAAAATATGTTATTAATATTGGATGAACAATACAATACAAGAGGTCCTTATTTATAGTTATAATATACAAGGACATACTACTCCTCTACCAATATGGGACAATACTACACTATATACATGCTGTAAACTAACAATACTTACCTCGAACCAAGCTCAAACAATCAGTCACAATGCCTTTCCCACGAATATCCGACTCCGAATGGCCCAAATCTAGCCAAAACAATTACATATCATAAATACAACTATATTAGGCTAATCAAATTAATAAAATCAAGATTTTAGTAGAAAATTTTGAAATCCATCCTAAAAAGTCGGCCCGGACCCACGTCTCGGAATCGGATAAAAGTCACAAAATACGAACACCCATTCACTCACGAGTTCACTCGTACCAAAATTATCCAAATCCGATGTTTAAATCCCAATCAAAACTCAGAAATCTTAGTTGAAGAAATTCTTCCCATTTTTCCTAAATTTTCAATCCAAACCCGAAATTTATTGAAGAAAACAACTATAGATTAATGAAATACAACCAAAAACGAGTTAGAAATCGTTACCCCAAAGCTCTATCTGAAAATCCCTCGAAAAATCGCCAATTCCCGAGCTCCCAAGTCCAAAAATGAAGAAATGAATCAAACCCTCGATTTGGCCCCTTTTCTGCCAGTTAAACCGCATCTGCGGACCGGTCTTCGCACATGCGGAATTCCCATCGCAGGTGCGGATTCCACTCAAAACTCAGCATCCGCTTCTGCGGTCCTTCACCGCTCCTGCGATTGCTCCATCGCATCTGCGGAATTTACCTCGCACCTGCGACCCTTGGCACTCCTTCACTTTTCCGCTTCTGCACTTGCCTCTTCGCACGTGCGATCCCGCACCTACAGTCTCTCCACCACAGGTGCGAAAATACCAGATGCCTGAAGACTTCAGCAGCAACACAAATCCAACTTTTAATCCGTTAAGCACCCGAAACTCACCCGAGGCCCCCGGGACCTCAACCAAACATACCAACCAATCCTAAAACACCATACGAACTTAGTCGAGCTCTCAAATCACATAAACTAACGCTAAAATCACGAATCACCCTCCAATTCAAACTTAAAGAACTTGAAACTTCACATTCCTACAACCGATGCCGAAACCTATCAAACCACGTCCGAATGACCTCAAATTTTGCACACAAGTCATATTCAATATTTCGGACCTACTCCAACTTCGGAAATCAGATTCCGACCCCGATATCAAAAAGTCCACTGTCGGTCAAAATCTCTAAAAATTTGACTTTCGCCATTTGAAGCCTAAATGAGCTACAGACCTCCAAAACACAATCCGGACATGCCCCTAAGTCCAAAATCACCCAACGGAGCTAACAGAGCCGACGAAACTCCATTCTGGAGTCGTCTTCACACAGTTTTGAGTACGGTCAAAATCCTAAAATTTAAGCTTCTGTTTTAGGGACTAAGTGTCCCAAATTACCCCGAATCATCCGGTAACTGAATTCAACCACGCACGCAAGTCAATACACATAATACGAAGCTGCTTGGGGCCTTATGCCGCCGAATGGGACTTAAATTCTCAAAACGACCAGCCGAGTCGTTACAGTTATATAAAATAAATTGACAAATTAATTCTTTTAGTCTCCTGGGAATGAAGATGTTGTCTTATAGCTTATAAAAAAATGATAAATGACAATGTAAAGTCTATAAATGACTAATGTTGATTTAATATTTTATAATAAATAGTTAAATTTATAGCAAAAATGTAGAAAGTTGTCATTTGTTGGAATAATTGGAGAAAAACTTAATGACATTTTGTTTACAATTGATTTTGTCTAAAGTTGAATATATTTTCTATTAAAATTAGGAAATAATTAAATGATGATATCTTTTATTGGTCAACAAAGGAAATTGCTATCTTTTAAAACTTAAGTTCTTTTCTCCAAAAACAATATCCTTTTTTGAGCCATAGGATGCGTGAGTTAGGACTAATTAAATATAATTTCAAATAAGGAAAGATATAATATGTAAAATTTTAATTGATTTCAAAGTCCTGAATTTTAGGAAAATAATTAAATGACTATTTTGTCTAGTGTGAAATTTATTTTTTAAAGGGCAAAAAAGGCGAACGACATTTCGCTAAGGACCTTCGTGCTTTTAATATAGTACTAGTCTTAGGTACGTGCTTTGCGCGTGAATTCATATAATGAGTGTAGAACTTATTAAGAAATTGTCTAAATATTACATAACATGTTTGCATTATAAAATAAAATTAGAAAATATAAATTCCTGAAAAATGATGAATATTTATCCTATTTAGTTGTTTCGATAAATGAAAAAATATGACTTATCCGATTATCTTATTTCTTTCTCTTTGCCTCCCTCTATCTTTATCTTCTATGTTCTTAATTATTTGTTTGTTATTTATTTTGATTATTAAGTATCATTTTAAAAAATTATACAAAAAACTAATGAAGTAAAAAGTATTATTTGAGCAGATAATTAAAGAGTTCAAAGATAATATCGAATGAATTATAGTCATGTTATAATATAAAAAGAATTGTGATAATGTTATAATATTCAAATAAAAAATCATTTATATAAATTAAAATCTCGATTGCTTTTAAATTTATAATATCAAGACTTCCAAAACTATTCAATGAAGGATTCAAAAGGTAAAAAATTAATGAATATATCAGTTTTGAATCTTTCTATTTGGCTTTTACTAATCACTTTTGTTTGCACTTGCCAAATAAAGGGTAGGCAAAATTGGAGACACTCGTAAGATATTCTTGAATTTATGTGTGGGCTCTTATCTTTGCAAGCTTATGCCTCAAGCGTGCGGACGAACACTTGTTATGGGCCCACTGCCTTAAGCACGAGCTCGTCCCACAATTCTTGTGTAATCATGTGTAAAACGTTAAAGATCATAAAAATTCATTATTTACCACATGACTCGTCAAAAAAGTCTATTCATTAATTATATTCTAGAAATTGAGAACACTAACATCGTGTCATGAAAGTGGATTCGATAAAATATTTTATATGAAATTCTTCTATTTTTAATGCACGCGGGGCTCAAAATCTCGTGCTAAATAGCGTGGAGGTTCGACTCCTCTTCGAGGCTCTCTTCAAATCTTGTTTATTACATTATTTTGTTTGATAACAATATTTTCATATATGTGCATTATGAAACTTATTACTTAATAATTAATGTTAGTGATTAACAACTTACAAATAATTATATTCATTAATATTTTTTAATAATAAATTAGAATACTGGAGTATATGTTAATTTTTTAGTAGCTTATTAGAAGAACATAATGCCAAATTGCATTATGTAATTGTTAACTTTTTCTGAAAGACTGAATTTCCAAAGAATCAATCTTTACAAAAAGTTAACAGAACGAATAGACTCTTAAATCTTGTTTGGATGGTTGTTACCTGTTATATTGTATCGTATTATTACTTTAAATATAATTTTTTTGGTTGTTATTTAATTTTATTGTACCGTATTGTTAAATCCGTCGTTACGTAATGACGAAAAATGTTACTTTATGGAACAACCGATTTGGTTTGGTCGCGTCATTCTCTTAGTTTTTTCTCTCATCTTTCCCTTCCATATTATTAAATAATTTTATTTTATCCTTTACCCTATCTTTTTATATAATAATTCTACCTCGTACCTTACTTTTCTCTATAATATTGTAACTTTATTCTTTATATTGTTGGTGCATGATATCATAAAATGACGGAAAACAATACAATTTATCTAAACATTGTATACATCAAAACGATACAGTACTATACGATACATTATGAAACGATACATAACAGCCATCCACACAAGTTGTTAAGTTTGTTAGTTATGAAACATCCCCTTTTTAATCAATCTTTTTTTCTCTACTTGTAATTCTTTTAAATTTCTTTTCTCCTAACTAAGGTGTATTTGCAATATTTTCTAAAGCTTCTAAACCTAAAAATGTGGTTTTCATGTATTATATGTGGTTTTTATGTATTACGTGTTATTACTTTTTTTTTGGGTTGCAAATATGGTATACTACATAATTAAAATAAGAAAAAACTTTAATAGAGAAAACTTAGTTGATATATAAGTCCTAAATATTAGGAAAATTATTAATTGACTGTCATAAATATTAGAAAAATAATCAAATGACTATTTTGTATAGTACGAACTCTATTTTATAAGGGTAAAAAAGACGAACAACTTTATGCTAAGGGCCTTCGTGCTTTTAATATAGTATATANTAATTAGAGAGAATACTTAAATGAAAGAGGAGTAAAGAATAGTTAACGAGTTTTTTTCCTTAAAATAATGTAATTAACAAAGTCTTCTTGTAAGTCTATCAGTAGCTATTTGACTATTTTTTCCCTTTTCACTAAAGTATAAACGATTCCTTCAGCTGGAATAAAATCTTATTTTTGAATTACAATTTCTTTTACTGAAAAGATACTGTCTATCTAAAAATAACAGTCCTAGTTCAAGTATAACTATAGAAAGTGAATAATTAGAGAATCAAAATTATTTTAGGTCTTCCTAAACACATGAAAGTAGTCTCCTAGTCCTAGAGGAAAACAAAAAGACTACCTTTTCTAAGACCAAAACCAAATATATTCTGGATTTAAGTGTCAAATTATTTTTGTACAAATACTTCTTACACTCAATTTAAACTCAATATATAGCCGTATAGGTATTTTCTGCCGATTCTTTCTTTCAAAAAGTTGGAAATAATGGAAGTAGTAGAGGCTTCTCCTGACTTGATTAACAAACTTCCTGAACACCTCTTATGTTCAATAATCTCATATCTTCCCACAAAAGAAGCCATAGCAACAAGCATATTTTCAAAACATTGGAAATTCCTATGGAAGTCCTTATCTCGCCTTTCGTTGAATCTGCCACAAGATCAAGTACTTGTGGACAAGATTCTTTCATCACAAGTTGGAAAGAATATCGAACATTTTCACATGAATCATCTCCCACAAGATTGGAGTACTTCAAAGAACAACATGAAACGATGGATAAACCACCTTAAAAACAAAAAAAGACTCCAAGGGATTTCACTTTATTGTGATAAAAACAATTACCGATCGTATTTACCAAGAAGCATCTTCCATGGTAGATTTCTTCAAGTGGTGGAGCTAAAAGAATATGTGCTGACCGATGCTTCCCCCTTTGAAGGTTGCGTCAATTTTAAAACCCTAAAACTCATTGCTATCCATTTAAAGGATAAAACCCTAAACGACATCGTTCGTAATTGTACCTCCTTGGAGAATCTGAGCCTTAATGATTGTAGCAAGCTTAATATTGACATCATTCACCACAAGAAACTCAAGATAATAGAGATTAGAGATATTGATATAATGAAATTTACTTTAGTATCTGAAAGCCTGACTGAGTTGGTGTTTGAACCTAATTCCTGTTACTCTTCCAAAAAATCTCATATTGCCTGTCCCAACCTTCGGGTTCTCCGGACCAACAGCAAAGAGCTGCTCGAATGGTGCACTGGTTTGAGGCCGGTAAGTTTTTTTTTTTTTTGAGTATATTGCTTAACAATTTCTTTGTTATTCAATATTCGTTGAAACTTGATAATAGACATGTATATATTCATTTGTTTATTGGATCCAGTGTCGAGATTATGAACGCTATAAGTACGGAATCCCTTTGACCGAGGTGCGTGTGTTATGCACCAGCTTAGACTTGAACAACATGAATGACAATATTGTGCTTAACTACATCTTCAGGGTGTGGAGCCATCTTCAAACGCTTGATATCACTAATCAGGTTAGTATATTTATTTCCAAGGACTTGATAATATATTATAGACTAATGTAGACGGATATGGCGGGTTCTGTTGGTTCAATAAAACCTACTATTAGTTTTGACTTGACTGATGACATATAATTGGTATAGATATACAATTATTAAGATCACACTAGTTGTGAATCCACTTTAGATTCTGGATTTTCTACAATAATAACAACAAAAAACCCAGTGTAATCTCACAAAGTGAGGTCTGAGGAGGGTAGTGTGTATGCAGACCTTACCCTTACCTTACGAAGGTAGAAAGGTTGTTTCCGATAGATTCTCCGCTCAAGGAGAGATTCTGGAGTTTATTTGAGAATACTTGTGAAACTTATATCCCCCCCACAATGATGCAGGTTGGGAAGACTCTAGATTATGAATCCGCTTTTCGTCTGGAGTATTGGTTTTGGGAAATGAAAGAGTTGGCAGATAGTTTTACTCATCATCTGAGACTGGTGAGGATTAGAGGGTTTACTGGAAAAGAGCGTGAAATCAGACTTGTAACTCATATGATAAAGAATGCTTGTATGTTGGAGAAGCTAGAAATTCAATGCAGTGATGGTTGTTCAACACAAGGAGCAGCTGCTACTCAGGGATTACTATTATTGCCCAGAGCCTCTATTAATGTATCTATAGTCTTGAATATGCCTGGAGATTAACATTTGTTATCAGTTTATCAGTTTTGAAGTTGGATACTGACACTTTCATTGTCATTTTCTTCTATGAAAATTAGAGCCGTCAATATGGGCTAGGCCCGTTAGGCCGGCCCAATCCAGCCTGTGATTTAATAGAGTTTGGCTAAGATTTTTGGAGCCCACTTAAAAACGAGGCTTTTAAGCGCGGCCCAAGTAAGCCCTAGCCCATGAGGCCGGCTAGCCGGGTTAAGATTTTTGGAGTTCATTTAAAAATGAGGCTTTTAAGCGCCGCCCAAGTAAACCCGTAGCCCATGAGGCCGGCCCATGCTCTTAATAACGTATTTAATTAAAAATAAAATATATATATATATATATATATATAGGAAACTAAAATAACAAGAAGAGTAGTGTAATCTCAAATTAGTAATATTTTTTATGTGAATATAAATATTTTTTGTTCTTAAAATTTTAGTTATTTCTTAATGTTTAACTAATTAACATTTTATATAATTATATATTTAGAAAATGTTAAGACATCTTTGTTAATATTGCATTTTAGGTTAAAACTTATATTTTTAAGAATATGAAAAATAATTTTAAAAAGGGTAGTTTAGCAAGTATGCATGGGGAGGAAAGTATTTACCCCCCCCCCCCCCCCCCC